GTTTAGGGTTTATGGTTTGCCTAAAACACTCAACTCTCAATCCGCCAAACCCCCAAGCCCCCAAACCCCCAAACCCTAGACTCGAAGGCCCAAAAAATAGAAACACCAAGCTCCGAAGGCACACAGAAGCTTTGGGGACTTGGCCAGGCCAACATTTCCCGGTTGAGGGTTTAGGGGTTTAGGCTGTAAGGTTTAGGATTTAGAGGTTTTGGGTTGAGCGTCTAGGCTCTAAGTAGGGCTGAGGGTCTCTGGTCGAGAGTTTAGGGATTCGGGTTTAAGGTTGAGGGTTTAGGTTTTTGGAGAACCCTGGCGCATGTCCCTCCCGTGCAGAACCCACCTGGTCGCTGGAGTGGGGTCCTGCAGGTGAGCGGCCAACTTGACTCTTATAGGCTCTAGGAACCTAGCACCCCAAACCCCAAAACCCCTAAACCCTTAAAAGCCAAACCCCCAAACCCACAAACCCTAAAACCCTAAACCTTTGAGTTTAGGTGAGACTGACAGGATAGACGCAACTGTGTGCCCAAGTCCACTGAGAGCCCTGAACCTCAACCTTAATTTAATGGTTAGGGCTTGGGTCTTAGGGCTTCGGGCTCAAGATTATTCAAAGTCTAAACTATGCAGAGGTTAGATGTTTAGCTTGACGGAGGGTACTGGGCTTGAAAGTCCGGGCACCCGCCAGCGACATTTTCAAAGGCCCACACGAGAAGAAAAAGGGCTAAGAGCGCGACGGCACCTCCTAAAGATCATCATGAACCCAACACCCTAAGCTCTACGGCCCCTGAACACGAACCTCTAAACCCTCAACCCGAATCACCCTAATCACCCCCCCAGCACCCCCCAATCAACCTGATCACCCCCTAATCCCCCCCCAAATCACCCCCTAATCACCCTAACCCCTATACACCAAAACCTAAACCTCAGCATGCTGCGCGCCAAGGGAGGATCCTGGATTTCCGTAGTGGAAGACCCGATCGTAGAAGAGCTGGCCTCGGCTGTTGGCGGCGGGCGGGTGGAGCTGGGGTTTGGGTGTTTGCAGTGTTTCCCCTAAACCCCTAAACCCCTAAACCCCTAAACCCCAAGCCCTAAACCGGGTGGAGTTTGGAGTTTTGGGCCGAGACTGGGTTTGTAGGCATCGCCAGATCTCGTCTATTCTCGAGCGCCCGAAGCCCTGAACCCTAACCCTAAACCCTAAACCCTAAACCCTAAACCCTAAACCCGAACTCCGCTGCCCAGTCTGGCTCGGACGGAATGACGCGAGCAAGGGAGAAAGCTGCCCAGGGACGCGGCACTCTCACAGTGAGAGGGATCCACGATGTATGTGTGTGTGTGTTGGGTTTAAGGTTTGGGGTTGAGGGCTTAAGTTTTAGGGTTTAGGGCTCATAGTTGGGATAGTAATAAAAATTCAAAATTTTATTCTTATTGAGTTTAAGTACCCTTAAAAATGTAAGATGTTATCCCACTATGACAAAGGATCCACGATGTATGTGAGTTGGGTTTAAGGTTTGGGGTTGAGGGCTTAAGTTTTAGGGTTTAGGGCTTAGGGTCTAGGCAGCACAAGTTGATCAAGATACCTCTCTATGGGGATTTGGGAGCTTGACTCAAGGCACCCTAGGAGTTTTTTTGGCTTTGCAGCCACTGCCTGTGTCCGCGCTCCGCGCTCTCCACCCCTCCCCTCTCCCCCCCCCTCCCCACACAACCCTAAACCCCCACCCTTACAAACCCTAAACCTTGAATCCAGAACACCCTGAACCCGAAACCCCAAGCCTACCATGAACTACGGGGACGTAAAGCCTAACCTTGAACCCTGCGGATGGGGGGCAGACTCTAAACCCTAAACCCCGAACCCACCATGAACCGTACAAGGGGGGGGAGGGTGGGGGTATAAGCCCTCTAACGTGTAACCCGTAGACCATAAACGCTGAAGCTGCTATGAGCCCTCAAGCCCCCAGACCCTAAACCCTAATGTCGCTACAAGGCCTCTAAACCCCTAGTTCCTGTAAGCCCTCATAAGCCCTCACCCCCTAAACCCTAAACCCTAAACCCTACAAAGAGGCCTCCCTGAAAAAGGCAGCCCGAGCGGCGTCGCACCACCCACTCGCCCGTGTCCAGCAGCTCAGTCTTCCGGCTGCCCCTGACCACCCCTAAACATGAAACCCTAAACCCTACACCCTAATCCCTAACCCTGTAGGCCACAAAACAAAAACCACAAGAAAACTAAGCCCTAAACCCTAAACCCTAAACCCTAAACCCTAAACCCTAAACCCATGTTTGGAGGGAGGATGGTGCCTGGGTTAAGGGTCTAGGGTGCAGGGTTGCGGACCGGCCGAAGCCAAGGTTTTAGAGTTTAGGGGTTTAGGCTTTAGGGTTTAGGGTTTAGGGGTTTAGGGGTTTAGGGGTTTAGGGTTTAGGGTTTAGGGGTTTAGGGTTTAGGGTTTAGGGTTTAGGGTTTAGGGGTTTAGGGGTTTAGGGGTTTAGGGGTTTAGGGTTTAGGGTTTTAGAGGTTTAGGGGTTTAGGGGTTTAGGGGCTTAGGGGTTTAGGGGTTAGAGGTTTAGGGTTTAGGGTTTAGGGGTTAGGGGGTTTAGGGGGTGAGGGGTTAGGGGTTTAGGGGCTTAGGGGCTTAGGGTTTAGGGTTTAGGGTTTAGGGGTTAGGGTTAGGGGTTAGGGGTTAGAGGGTTGGTTTAGGGTTTAGGGTTTTTAGGGTTTAGGGGCTTTTAGGGTTTAGGCTTTAGGGTTAGGGGTTTAGGGTTTAGGGTTTTAAGGGGTTTGGGTTCAGGGGTTTAGGGGTTTAGGGGTTTAGGGGTTTAGGGGTTTAGGGGTTTAGGGGTAGGGGTTTAGGGGTTTAGGGGTTTAGGGGTTTAGGGGTTTAGGGGTTTAGGGGTTTAGGGGTTTAGGGGTTTAGGGGTTTAGGGGTTTAGGGGTTTAGGGGTTTAGGGGTTTAGGGGGTTAGGGGTTTAGGGGGTTAGGGGTTTAGGGGTTTAGGGGTTTAGGGGTTTAGGGGTTTAGGGGTTTAGGGGTTTAGGGGTTTAGGGGTTTAGGGGTTTAGGGGTTTAGGGGTTTAGGGGTTTAGGGGTTTAGGGGTTTAGGGGTTTAGGGGTTTAGGGTTTAGGCTTTTAGGGTTAGGGTTTTAGGGTTGGGTTTAGGGGTTTAGGGTTTAGGTTTAGGGTTTAGGGGTTTAGGTTTAGGGGTTTAGGGGTTTAGGGGTTAGGGGTTAGGGGTTAGGGTTTAGGGTTTCGGGTTTAGAGGCTTTAGGGGTTAGGGGTTTAGGGGCTTGGGGGGTTTGGGCTGGGGTTGGGGTTTGGGGTGTAGGGTTTAGGGGTTAGGGGGTTAGGGGTTTAGGGTGTAGGGTGTTTAGGGGCTTAGGGGCTTAGGTTTAGGGTTTAGGGTTTAGGGGTAGGGGTTTAGGGTTTAGGGTTTAGGGTTTAGGGTTTAGGGTTTAGGGTTTAGGGTTTAGGGTTTAGGGTTTAGGGTTTAGGGTTTAGGGTTTAGGGTTTAGGGTTTAGGGTTTAGGGTTTAGGGTTTAGGGTTAGGTTTAGGGTTTAGGGTTTAGGGTTTAGGGTTTAGGGTTTAGGGTTTAGGGTTTAGGGTTTAGGGTTTAGGGGTTAGGGGTTAGGGGTTAGGGTTTAGGGGTTGGGGGGTTTTAGGGGTTTAGGGTTTAGGGTTTTGAGGGGGTTTAGGGCTTAGGGGTGTTTTAGGGGTTTACGGTTTAGGGTGTAGGGTTTAGGGTTTAGAGGTTTAGGGTTTAGGGTTTAGGGGTTTTAGGGGTTTAGGGGTTTAGGGGTTTAGGGGTTTAGGGGTTTAGGGGTTTAGGGGCTTCTTAGGGGTTTAGGTTAGGGGGTTTAGGGTTTAGGGGTGTAGGGGTTTAGGGTTTAGGGTTTAGGGTTTAGGGGTTTAGGGGTTTGGGGGTTTAGGGGTTTAGGGGTTTAGGGGCTTAGGGTTTAGGGTTTCGGGTTTCGGGTTTCGGGTTTGGGGTTTTGGGTTTGGGGTTTGGGGTTTGGGGTTTGGGGTTTGGGGTTTGGGGTTTGGGGTTTGGGGTTGAGGGTTCAGGGTGTAGGGGTCAGGGTTTAGGGTTTAGGGTGTAGGGTTTAGAATTTAGGGTTTAGGGTTGAGGGTTTAGGGTTTAGGGTTTAGGGGCCATTGTGCGTGTTTAGGGCGCGGGCTTCTGGGCTTTATGGGAGGATTTTCAGGAACCCTAAACCCGAAACCCTTACGGAGCAGGATCCTACTGAACCCTGACCCTGAAACGTTGTGGGCAACAGGAGTGCGAGTGCCAAGTAGGGGTATCGGAGGGCTGGGACGGGTTTCGGGCTTAAGGCTGAGAGTTTTGGGCTTTGGGTTTTGGGACTTAGCGCTTATGGTTCTATCATAATCGACTGCTTACTGGGCAATGGCCACACAACTGTCGACATGCAGGGCTAAAAGTAAAGCGCCAATCCTCAACCCTCAACCCTCAACCCTGAACCCTAAACCCTAAACCCTACCATCAAACCCCCAACCCTCAAACCCCAACCTTCCCAACTGCCGGGTCTCCAAGGTTGTCCTGAAGCTCTAAACTCGATGGCGCTTCCTACAGTTTCGCATCAAGTTTGGGGTTTAGGGTTTAGGGTTTAGGGCTTAGGGCTTAGGGTAGGGTTCAGGGGCCAGGGTTCAGGGTTTAGGGTTTAGGGTTCAGGGTTTAAGGTTTAGGGTTTAGGGTTCGGGTTATCCTGGAGGCTAGGGCCTTTAAGCGCTCCTACTAACACCCCAAAACCTCAAAACCCCTAAACTAAACCCTAAGCCCCTGAACCCAAAACCCCTAAACCCCCCCACTTAACCCAGCTAAACCCTCAACCCTTAACCCTTAACCCTACCAAAACGCACCGCACCCGCCTCAGCGCGCGGCCCCAGAGGTCACCGCGAGCGTTGGTGCCACCGAAACCTCGTCTGGGTGGTTTGAGGGATTTAAGGTTTAGGGTTTAGGGTTTAGGGTTTAAGGTTTAGGGTTTAGGGTTTAGGGGGTTTAGGGTTTAGGGGGTTTAGGGTTTAGGAATTAGGGATTTAGGAGTTTAGGGCTTTAGGGCTCTTTGAGGGGCTGAAGGGCTATGTTGGGATTAAGGACTTGAGGGCTGTAGGGGTTGAGGTTCGTTAATGAGTTTAGGGTACAAGGTATAAGGGATTTGTAGGCTTTGGATGTTAACGTGTTAGGGGGTTACGGGGGTTAAGGGCTTGGGGGTTTTAGGGTCTTCGGGTTTTAGAGCTTGGGAATTAGGGCTTTCGGGTTTCGCGGCTTCAGGGTTTAGGGCTTAGCATTTTCGCGTTTTGGGGTTTGAGGCTTTGGGATTTCAGGGTGCGTTGGGCCTGCGAAAGTTTACGGGCTTAGAGGCTCCGCTAGGATTTTGTGGGACGTTTGGGGCTTGAGGGGACTCAGGGGTGTAGGTTGCTAGGCTTTAGGACTTTTAGGGTTTAAAACACTTTTGGGACATTTATGATATGCATATATATATATACATATATACATATATACATATATATATATATATATATACATCTGCAGGTCGGGTTTAGGGCTGAGGGTTTGGGGATTTCGGGTTTAGGGCTTAGGGTGTAGGGTTACAAAAATCCTAAACACACCGCTGAGTTCACGCCAGAGCAGCCAAAGGAGGAAACGCCGGTCATGCCTGGCATTCAACTGCTGAAAAGCATCTCCCAGCTTGAGAATCAGAGGAGCGGGTCCTAAACCCCGAAGCCCCGCAACCCCCAAGCCCCTAAAGCCCCTAAACCCTAAACCCCAACCCTAAACCCCTAAGCCTCCAAGCCCCTAGACCCCTAAAGCCCCAAGCCCCTAAACCCCTGAACCCTTAAGCCCCCAAGCCCCTAAACCTCCTAAACCCCTAAACCCTTAACCCCTGAAGGCCCCAAACCCCTAAAGCCCCTCAACCCCCTAAACCCCTAAACCTTGAACCCAAGCTGTCCCCCGACTTGAGAGCGTTTAGGGCTTGCCGGGTAGGGTAAGCTCTACTGCCCCTAGAACAAGAAGGGTGTAGGGTGCAGGGTTTAGGGTCTAGGGTTAGCGTTTGGGGCGAAAATGCGAGAACATCCGTTCGTGAACATTCTCGCCTAGGCACGCTCTCAGGTTCTCTCTAGGGTTCGAAGTATGGGTCCTTCTTGACAGGTCGCCCTTATGTACCCTGCACACAAGAGAGGCCCATGCTTCGGATCCCTATAATAAACAAGGGTAAGGCGCCGTACTAAGGGCTTAGACACGAAACCCTGAATCCCTAACCCTATACCCCTAAACCCTGAATCCTTAACCCTATACCCCTAAACCCTAAACCCTAAGCCCTTGACCCTTTACCCATAAACAGTGTGGGCCCATGGCTCCAACCTTAGATTCTCTGCAGGCGGAGCTTACATGGGTTCAGGGGACTGGGGCTCACGGCTTGGGGTTTAGTATTCGGTTTGAGGGCTTAGGGTTTAGGGTTTAGGGTTTAGGGTTTAGGGTTTAGGGTTTAGGGTTTAGGGTTTAGGGTTTAGGGTTTAGGGTTTAGAGGTTCTGAGGCTTACAGCTTGGCGCTAAGTTTCAGCCCCTCCATCAGCAACGCCATAACCAACATAAAGGGGTGGTGGAATTGCACTGTGCAGCCAAGGACTAGCTTTCTCTTCTGGGCGGTTCTTGTTTTAAGGGGAAGGCCTGGAAAGGCCAAAAATCTAAACTCTAAACCCTCAACCCTAAATCCCAAACCCTGAACCCTGAACCCTCAACCTTAAACCGTGCACCTTAGACCCTCAAGCCAAAGGGCTAAAAACCCTAAACCCTAAACCCTAAACCCTAAACCCTAAACCCTAAACCCTAAACCCTAAACCCTAAACCCTAAACCCTAAACCCTAAACCCTAAACCCTAAACCCTAAACCCTAAACCCAAAACCCTAAACCCTAAACCCTAACCCCTAAACCTAAACCCTAAACCCTAAACCCTAAACCCTAAACCCTAAACCCTAAACCCTAAACCCTAAACCCTAAACCCTAAACCCTAAACCCTAAACCCTAAACCCTAAACCCTAAACCCTAAATCCTAAACCCAATTCCTAAACCCTAGACCATCCGAGCCCTATGAACCCCAAAAACCCCGAAAACCCCAAACCCTAGAATCCTAAACCTCAAACTCTCAAACCGGAAACCCTGAAAAGCCTAAAACCCTTAAACCATCAAACCCTAAACCCTCAAACTCTTTAAGCCCTGCAACCCTCAAGCCCTCAAACACCAAACCCTAAACCCTAAACCCCAAACCCTAAACCCTAAACCCTAAACCCCAAACCCTAAACCCCAAACCCTAAACCCCAAACCCTAAACCCCTAAACCCTAAACCCTAAACCCTGTTTTAGCGACTCAAGCTCGCCGGCACCGCCAGACTTCGAGCCGTAGTCGGACAGCTCGTTTGCAAAGTAGACCTCAAGGGTTTTAGGGTTTTTAGGGTTTAGGGTTTAAGGGTGTAGGGTTTAGGGTTTAGGGTTTAGGGTTTGAGGGTGTAGGGGTTTAGGGTTTAGGGGTTTAGGGGTTTAGGGTTTAGGGTTTAGGGTTTTGGGTTTAGGGTTTTGCGTTTAGGGTTTAGGGTTTGGGGTTTAGGGTTTAGGGTTTAGTTTAGGGGTTTAGGATTTAGGGTTTAGGCTTTGGGGTTTTCGGGTAGCTGGGGTTCAGTGTTTCGGCCTTTGGCTGGGGTAGCTTGCAGATCTTTAAGGGCTTGGTAGTTCTAGGAGCGCAACTTGTTAGTTCCCAGGCAAAGAGGCAACCGAGGACTCCTTTGTTTTAGGGTTTAGGGGCTACTATCTGCTTAAGAAACCACCCAACATGCACAAGTAATCTTCTTTATGAGGGCAATATAGGGATTGCATTTTTTTGTTGTTTTTCTTTTCTTTCTTTTTTGGAAAGGTGGGGGAGGATCCTAGACAAATACTAGAGGAGCGTAGGGGTTCACTTGGGACGACTCCACCTCCGGGGAAGGGAACCCATGACTCTCCCAAGTCCACGAAGATGTAGCGGTAGTAGTCGGGTTTGCTCCCGGCGACATGACCCATGATGAAGTTGGGCAGATCCTCAACGGCGCGCCGGAACCCGGAGTCCTGGGCATGCATACGGCGCAAGTGCTCGGCGAAGAGGGCGGCACCTTCGTCGCCGGAGCGTTCAGGTCGAGGGGATCCTCGCTGTTCGGACCGTAGTCTGTAACGGTAACAGGTCGAGGATCTACGCCAGCATCGTGCTGACATGCACTTTCGGCAGTGTGGCAACCCGAGCAGTCGGAGTTCGACTGGATCATCTACTATCGACACCCTACACCCCACGTTTAGGGTTTTTGGTTTAGGGTTTATAGGGTTTAGGAACTCAACACCAACAAAGAGAGAGAGACACAGAGAGAGAGAGAGAGAGAGACAGAGACAGAGACAGAGACAGAGACAGAGACAGAGACAGAGACAGAGACAGAGACAGAGACAGAGACAGAGACAGCGACAGAGACAGAGACAGAGACAGAGACAGAGACAGAGACAGAGACAGAGACAGAGACAGAGACAGAGACAGAGACAGAGACAGAGACAGAGACAGAGACACAGACACAGACACAGACACAGACACAGACACAAGCACACACACACACACACAGACACAGACGCAGACACAGACACAGACACAGACACAGACACAAGCACACACACAGACACAGACGCAGACGCAGACACAGACACAGACACAGACACAAACACAGAAACCCTGCGCAGCGAAACCCTGCACCCCAATTCGATACCCTAAGCCCTGAAAACCGAACTCAACAAAACTCGAAACCCTGAAGCCCGAACTCAAAAATTCGAAGCCCTAAAGCCTAAACCCTAAACCCTAAACCCCGAACCCTGAAGCCCCAAAACTCAAAAACTTTAACATGCTTCAGGGCCCAAATGGACGCGAGAGCCCCGCCCCAACCTTCAAGCGGCTACAAATCCCAGCCTTCAGGGTTTAGGGTTTAGGGTTTGGGGATTGGGTTTAGGGTCCAGGGTTTAGGGTTTGGTTTGGGGTTTAGAATTGAGGCTGAGGAGCCCTACACCCTAAAACCTCTAACCCCTTGCCCCAAAAGCCCCTGAATCTAAATCCCTGAACACTAAACCCCCCTGAACCCTAAACCCTAAACTAAGCGTAGTTACATGGTCCCTCAGTATGGGCCCAGAAAAGGGCACCCCATACCCCTTACATGCCCTATATAAATTCAGGGCCAAGGAGGTTAGGGACCATATTAAGGGTCCATGAAACTACTCTCAGATAAACCCTCAACCCTGAACCTAGAACCCTAGCCCTAAACCCTACACCCTAAACCCCCTCTGCCCTGAACCCTACACCCTAAACCTTCTCTTTCATGGCAAGCTGCCGGGTAGCCGTTGGTGTCCATGTGCGGATTCAGGTTTCCTTGGTTTTCCGGATTTAGGGTTTAGGGTTTAGGGTTCGAGGCTTGGGGCTCAGGATGTATGTAGGGTTTAGGGTTCAGGGTTTAGGGTTTAGGGTTTAGGGTTTAGGGTTTAGGTTTTCAAGTTTACAGTCTAGGGCTTGGGGTTGGGGATTTAGGGTCAGGGGTTTGGGACGGTTTGGGACTTAGGGTTCAGGGCTTGGGTTGATTCTATTTAGGCCTGAAACCCTAGCCCCAATGCCCTGAAAACCCTCGAACCCCAAACTTCACGCTAAACTCAAAGACCGGCTTCGGGTCGAGGTTTAGGCGCCAGAGTTCAGGGATTTAGGTCAAATCCTTAACGCCTCAAACCAAACCATACGCGCCCTCAACCCGAAACCCTAAACACTAAACGCCCTAAACCCTAAACGCCCTAAACCCTAAACGCCCTAAACCCTAAACCCTAAACCCCAAACCCTAAGCCCTAACCCTAAACCCTAAACCCTCAACCCTACATGCCCCCAAACCGCGGCCGCGGGGCGGAAGTGGTTGTTGGGCGGACAGGAGCTGCTGTTCAAGAGGTTCACGCACTTGAGCACGCCTGTGCTTGAAGTTAAGTGAGCCAGGGAGCCTAGGGTTTAGGGTTTAGGGCTTACGGTTTTGGGTTTAGGGTTCAGGGCTTAGGGGTTTTAGGTTTAGGGTTTAGGGTACAGGGTTCAGGGTTGGGGTATGGCCTGGTGGTTTTTTCAGAGGTCTTGCAGGTTAAGAGTCGAGGGTGGTATCACAGCGGGAGCAAGCCCCAGGCTCGGTCTAGGGCTGCCCCGCAACCCTGCAATTTACCAGGGTGCCCCTGTTTTGCTACCTACTACTACCTACTACTACCACTACTGCTACTACTGCGACTAACCACTACTACTACTACTACTACTACTACTACTACTACTACTACTACTACTACTACTACTACTACTACTACTACTACTACTACTACTACTACTACTACTACTACTACTACTACTACTACTACTACTACTACTAGTACAGGTGGGGGTTGGCTTGAAGTACCCCCACAGACCTCTGGGGTAGGCCTAGGGGGTCGGGGTAGGCCTACTAGGCCTGCCCCCAGTTTGGCAGGCGGACTCTAGAGCTGCCCCTGCCCTAGCAGGGCCCAGCCCAGACCCACCTCCAGGTCGGGGCAGCCTAGAGGCGGAGTCATATGCATATATATATATATATATACATATATCTCTATATATATACATATATCTCAATATATATACACATATATCTAGATATCTAGATATCTATATATCTTTCTATCTATATATCTATATATCTATATATCTATATATCTATATATCTATATATCTATATATCTATATATCTATATATCTATATATCTATATATCTATATATCTATATATCTATATATCTATATGTCTATATATCTATATCTATAATATCTATATATATATATAATCTTATATATATATATATATCTATATATCTATATATATCTATATATCTATATTATATATCTATCATCTATATATCTATATATCTATATCTATATATCTATATATCTATATATCTATATATCTATATATCTATATATCTATATATCTATATATCTATATCTCTATATATCTATATATCTATATATCTATATATCTATATATCTATATATCTATATATCTATATATCTATATATCTATATATCTATATATCTATATATATATACATGTGTATATATATACACACATACACACCTGTGTATAGGGTTTAGGGTTTGGGGTTTCAGGTTTAGGCTTGACCCCCTTCCCTAAAACTAGGGTATAGATAGATTCAAATTCAAAGGCCCTGCAAATTGCAGGAGGCTAGGGATTCCCACTACCCAGAGCAAGAACTCCATTTTGCGGACCACGAAATTAGACGCAGCGAAACACTGACTTTGGGTCTGGGGTCTCCGGTCCTATTGGGGTCAGGGCTTAGGGTTGTACGGCACTGCTGTCATCTCCGCAAACGCCGTTCTTGAGCTGATCTTGTACGGCACTGCTGTCGCCTCCGTAATCATCACGGCCCCAGGTCACCACAGATCCGTCAGCCAAAATCGCAGCAAAAGCCCAACCGGCAGCTTGCACCTGCTGCACGTTCTTGAGCTGATCTTGTACAGCACTGCTGTCGCCTCCAAATTCATCAACACCCCAGGTCACCACAGATCCATCAGCCCGGATCGCAGCAAACGCCATTGGAGAAGCTTGCACCTGCTGCACGTTCTTGAGCTGATCTCGTACGGCACTGCTGTCACCTCCGCATTCAGCATTCCCCCAGGTCACCACAGATCCATCAGCCAAAACCGCTGCAAACGCTTCACTAGAAGCTTGCACCTGCTGCACGTTCTTGAGCTGATCTTGTACGGCACTGCTGTCGCCTCCGTCTTCAGCATCGCCCCAGGTCACCACAGATCCATCAGCCAAAATCGCAGCAAACGCCCGTTCAGAAGCTTGCACCTGCTGCACGTTCTTGAGCTGATCGTGTACCGCACTGCTGTCGCCTCCAAATTCATCATGGCCCCAGGTCACCACAGATCCATCCGCCAAAATCGCAGCAAACGCCCGAGTAGAAGCTTGCACCTGCTGCACGTTCTTGAGCTGATCTTGTCCGGCACTGCTGTCGCCACCATGGCGAGCATCGCCCCAGGTCACCACAGATCCATCAGCCAGAATCGCAGCAAACGCCCCTTTCGAAGCTTGCACCTGCTGCACGTTCTTGAGCTGATCGTGTACAGCACTGCCGTCGCCTCCGTATTCATCATGGCCCCAGGTCACCACAGATCCATCAGCCAAAATCGCAGCAAAAGCCCAACCGGCAGCTTGCACCTGCTGCACGTTCTTGAGCTGACCTTGTACGGCACTGCTGTCGGCTCCAAAACTATCATCGCCCCAGGTCACCACACATCCATCGCCCAAAACCGTAGCAAACGCCCCATCAGAAGCTTGCACCTGCTGCACGTTCTTGAGCTGATCTTGTACGGCACTGCTGTCGCCTCCGTATTCATCATGGCCCCAGGTCACCACAGATCCATCCGCCAGAATCGCAGCAAACGCCCGAGTAGAAGCTTGCACCTGCTGCACGTTCTTCAGCTGATCTTGTACGGCACTGCTGTCGCCTCCAGCGTCAGCAGCGCCCCAGGTCACCACAGATCCATCACCCAGGATAGCAGCAAAGGCAGCAGAGGCGCCTACTCCTTTTGAAGCTCTGATTTGAACCTGTCCGACTTTGAGGGTCAGCACGTCATTGTGTTGTAAACGTGCTCGCTTCACTGTACCTGAGGCCAGCGCCTCCCCAGAGGTAGTCAGCAGCCTTCCCTTGCCAACTCTTAGAGCGCCCTGGGCTCTTTGGCACAAGCAGGTGACGGACTCTTCTGGCTCCGTTGCCAAAGCCACGCTTGCGCCACTCAGGAGGTGCACATGGACTGAAATCGACATGAAAGGGACCCTAGGGCTTGGGGCTATTTGGGCTGCTTAGGATGGACGGTTCAGGGCCTAGGATTTAGGGTCCTGTCTAAGGGTCCCTCCCAGGCCCAAAACTTAGGGTTTAAGGTTTAGGGTTTAGGGCTTAGGGCTTAGGGTTTAGGGGTTTAGGGTTTAGGGTTTAGGGTTTAGGGTTTAGGGTCTAGGGGCTCACAGAAAATTTCGGCACTGTGGAGCCCCAAGGTCGCGTGATGGCGCAGGGATTGTTGGCTAAACCCTAAACCCCAAACCCTAAACCCTAAACCCAAGACCCTAAACCCTAAACCCTGCACGAAACGATCCCAAACAGCGAATATGGGTTTTGGTTTTAGGATGTAGGGCTTTACTAGGGCCTTTGCCCTCCGCTTTCCGCTGGGAGCCTTGTGTCATGATTCACGCGTGACAAAACACATGGGAGAAAGTAACCCGCAGCAACCTGAGTTGAACTTGGGTTGAACTGGGTCAACAAGCAAATGGGGGGGGGGGGGCTGCTGACAACAACAAGCAAATGGCGGTTGTTGGGAACAACAAGCAAATGGGGGGGGGGGGGGGCTGCACCGCACCCCCCAACCCCCCCGCTTTTCGGGAACAACAAGAAAATGGGGGGGGCTGCCCCCCCCCCTCCCAACCCCCCAGCTTTTTGATTACGTCAGAAAATTTGCTGTCATTTAGATTATAATTCTCAATTAATTCTCAACTCTGATATTCGAATAATAAACACAAGAAACAAAAAACAAGAAAGGAGTGGGGTGGAATTTAGACTTCTTCTCTACTTCTCTATGTATTCTCTACTCCTCTGATTTGCGAATAATGAACACAAGTAGCAAAAACAAGAAACGAGGGAGTGAAACTTAGAGAATTCTCGACTCCTCTGATTTTCAAAAAATGAACATAAGAAACAAAAACAAGAAACGAGGGGGAGTGGAATTCTGATTGGTTCTCTACTCCTCTGACTTTCGAATAATGAACACGAAACAGAAACAAAACACGAGGGGGGGGGGGTGGAATTTAGACCAATTCTTTACTTCTCTACTTATTCTTTACTTTTCAAATGATGAACACAAGAAACAAAAACAAGAAACGAGGGGGTGGAATTTAGAGTAATTTTCTACTCCTCTGATTTTTGAGTCAAACAAAAACATGTTGTCATTAAAAATATTTTTCTCTACTCCTCTGATATTCGTATAATTAACACAAGAAACAAAATAAGAAACGAGGGGGGGGTGGAATTTGGACTAATTCTCTACTTCACTACTTATTCTCTACTTCTCGAATAAGGAACACAAGAAACAAAATAAGAAACGAGGGGGTGGAATTTAGACTAGTTCTCTTCTTCACTACTTATTCTCTACGTTTCGAATAATGAACACAAGAGCCAAAACCAAGAAACGAGGGGGGTGGAATTTAGACCTCCTTCTCTACTTAGTCACAACTGCGGGGGGGAGGGGGGGGGTGGAATTTAAACTTATTCTCCGCTCCCTCTACTATTCTCCAGTTTCGAATAATGAACACAAGAAACAAGAACAATAAACTTACAATGATTTGTACATGAACGTAAGAAATTAGAACAAGAAACGAGGGGTAGCTACTACTACTACTACTACTACTACTACTACTACTACTACTACTACTACTACTACTACTACTACTACTACTACTACTACTACTACTACTACTACTACTACTACTCTACTACTACTACTACTACTACTACTACTACTACTACTACTACTACTACTACTACTACTACTACTACTACTACTACTACTACACTACTACTACTACTACTACTACTACTACTACTACTACTACTACTACTACTACTACTACTACTACTACTACTACTACTTCTACTACTACTACTACTACTACTACTACTACTACTACTACTACTACTACTACTACTACTACTACTACTACTACTACTACTTCTTCTTCTTCTGCTATGGAAGGGTAGAGCTACCCGCAGGCTAGGGGTGGGCCTATCCCTAGGCCTACCCCCAGGGTAGGGGTATGTGAAGTCGACCAGCACTGGACTTGCACTAAGCCAATGCAATCACAGCCCGGTCACGCTGTTTTACGACTTCGT